GGAAAAAGAAAATAATGAAGAGTGAGCAGAATATTGCTTTGTTTACTTCTTTGATCTGTTTTGGTCTGAAGAGAAAGAGACGAGGTGCAGTGTTAAGGTGCGTTAGCAGCAGTAACTCCGTTCAGCCTTTCCCTCTGCCCTGCTGTGTTCAGCAGAGCACTTGTAACAAGCAAGAACATCATGATTCAGGTGCATTCTGTATCAACACTTTGTGGGTTGTTTTTTTTTTTTCCTTTTGTGGTGTGGGTGGTTTTTTTTGTTTTGTTTTGTTTTGTTTTTTTTTTTACAATAAAAGGCACCTTTTACTTGATGAGGAATTTTTTTACCTAAAATGGCTTCTTGTGTTTGAGATCTTCTTGCTACCCTTATCTGGTGTCGTGCTCTCCAGTACAAATTCTGGTAGTGTTTATGCAACTTACAGCAGTTTACTCTTCTTAGCCAATCTAGTGTCAGCACTAGGATAAAAAGAAAAATGATACTCATTAACTGTTACTGGTAAAATATTTAATAATGTTACTTCCAACACTTCCGTGATAACTAGTTGCCTCAATAGTGTACATTGCAGGTGACTTTATGAAAAATGGCTTTTGATTTTTGAAATTGTGTGTGTTTTCAGTAATACTTTGCAATGTTATCTGTCAGTGAGTTGAAATAGTCAGAGTATTAGGTTTTCCCATGCATGTGTACTAACTTTTTCATACTTGCATTCAAGTTAAGCCCAGTAATGTGGTCCAGTGCCAACGTTTGCCTTTGCTTTTGTAGCAGTGGTGAGAATGGTTTTTTGTCTCATGTTAATAATAATAGAAAAAAATCAGTTATAATGTATTCACAGGCTTGTTGCTGGCTTGCACAGTGTCATGGTTTAGCCCAGCCAGCAGCTAAGCCACCATGCAGCTGCTCACTCACTGCTTTCCTTCTCTGCTCCTCCGCTAATTTCCATGGGTGGCAGGGGGGCCGCTGCCATCTCACCACGGGCTGCAGGGGAATCTCAGCTCCAGCACACCTCCTCCCGCTCCATCTCCACTGACATTGGTGTCTGTGTGGCCGTTTCTCTCAGATCTCAGTCCTCTCTCTGCTGCAGCTGTGCTGGGCCCAAATGGCCCCACGAACCTTGGCACTCCCGGCAGGATGAACTCTGCCCAGTGGGTGCCTTGGGAATGGGCACTTCGGAGCTCTCCAAGCTCCACTGCCGCGGCCATTTCCAGTCACGTTGCAATAGCCGAGCATGGGCAGCTGCCTGCCTGGGAGGCTAGGGGGCCAGCCCCCCACCACTCCCTGCTCTTCACTGTAGGTCCAGCCCAGTTCGGGCTCCTTTGTCCCCTTCTTAAATCGGGCATTCGCAGAGGCACTGATCGGCTCAGCCCTGGTCAGAGGTGTGGGGTTCCAACCTGGCCAGAGGTGGTCTGACTGATTTTGGAGCCAGGTAAGGTTCTTGCATCTCCTTACAGGGGCTGTCTCTGAAGCCCCTGCCCTGCTGCCGAAAGCCCACTGCATAAACCCAGCACACACAGAATGCGTAGCAGCTGTAGGTGTTGTTTCAGATGAGTATTTTTTGTGCACGTTGTATGAGTAGAATGTTAGGGTACCTTAAAGTCTGGAGTTAGAGATGAAATTTATACAAACTTGAACCTGTTCTTATTTCTGTAATTGGGAATGACATTGATTTTTTTTAAAAAAATATAAAAATTTCACACGTGGATTCAAAAACTAGCTTTAGTGGGGTATGTATTACACCGTAAGTGTTAGAAGTTAATTCAGCTTTCAAACCGAGTGTAGTCACTTTTCTATATTGCAGTGAATTAGTAATTTTTCCCATCTCTCTCTTGAAGGAAATTAGTCAAGACTGATAGGGAACTCCAGCATGATGTTTTCTGTCATTGTAGGCAGCAACCAGATCATCTACCTTTTTGGTTTAGATATTAAAATCAGGTAGGGATTTTTTTAAACCTGTTTTTCTGATATACAGGCAGTTTAGTAATCTCACTGCTCCAGTTAAAAACCTTCTTAAAAAAAAAAACAAACACCAAACCAACAAAAAAAAAAGCCAAAAAAACCCTCATCAAACACAAAACAAACCAACTTGCAATTACATTCCGCCCTGGCTTCATTTGTAATACGTGAGTGAGATCTCTCTGGGACATATGTCAAACTCTGTATCAGTCTAGCACAGCTTAAGCATAGTTTTCTGGATAACAAAAATCTTGGACAGATAAAATCAGATTTTTATCCTACTTCTTTTGAAGTAAGTTAAGAATGAGTGAATGAAAAAACAGCTCTTAAGGATGTGTATTTTGCATACTTTCACATTTTTGTGAATTAGATCAGACTTCAGCAGTTGCCTGACTTTTTTTTTTATAATTTCCCTTTAGATTCTGGTTCTTCAAATTTGCAACAGCACTTGCAATTAGTGTTGGAGCTTTCTTCATACCAGAGGGACCATTTACAACTGGTAAGGGAATATTGTCTTCCAGTGTATCATGGTGCAATCATAACTGGTTTTAAAACAAAACTAAGTGCATGCTGGTGTCTCAGAGTTTTAATTGTAGCTGTGTAACTGCAGTGCTTTTCTGTGTTTAGGGACATTAAGACAGGGTGGTAAATTATCTATGGTTCTGAACTGGTTTTGTTTTATTTCTCTTTCAGTGTGGTTTTATGTAGGTATGGCTGGAGCATTCTGCTTTATTCTTATTCAGCTGGTCTTGCTTATTGACTTTGCCCACTCCTGGAATGAATCTTGGGTGGAAAAAATGGAGGAAGGAAACTCAAGATGTTGGTATGCAGGTAAAGGACCGTACTGCAGTCAAGTTTTAAATTTCAGTGTGTTAAATAAGTTATTCACTGGGTAGTGCATTTTACCAGAGTGCAGGAGGGCTGCTCTGTGTGTAAGTACTGTTTTCTCAGATGGTGTAGTTCAGCTCTGCTGTCTTGCTGTCCTTTTAATGTCAGCTCAGATAAGGAGGGAGGGAGAGCCAGGGGAGGGGCAGCACCCTGGGAGCAGGGTGTCAGTTTATGATAGCAGAGAAGTGGCATTTGCAGGTTTTTGGTTATTTTTTTTTTCCAGCCATAGGTTTTGTTACACCTTAGTGCTGATTAAAACCAAACTAGCCTGTTCTGTTTCATGTTGAGCATAAACATCTCAAATATTTGTTTTTTCATTCTGTCTGCTGGTCGGTTGTTCTTCAAAGGTATATGCTGAGTGAAAGGCCAAGATAGTGAAGGAGAGTACAAGCCATCTCACTGGAGAAATGATAGATCAATTTTAATAAAGCCTTTCAGATGTGATAATTTAGGTGCAGACAGCACAGATTGTCTTTGTGCAGTGGCCACTTCACTCTTGAATGTTTTTAATAAGATGGAATTTGGAAATAAGGTTTTGTTTTTCCTTCTCTTGGAGAAGTAGTTCCTCAGTTTCTGTTTTAAGCTTTTAGTCAACATGTGTGTAGTACAACTGTGTTCCTTCATGCTTGCTGCTCATGGTTGCTGTTAGAGCACTGGAGGATCATGTATGGCTTCAAGCTTCCCATTTATTGTGTTCTTTCTTTTTAACACCTCAGAGTATTGAGAAGAACTTATTTGCTTTAAATTTCAGTGCCCAGAGCTGCTCTTTAATTGTCATTGCATACTGTATCCAAAACTTGGTAATCATGCAGTATTATTTCAGTTGTACTGCTCTCCGTTATTAACCAGTTTAACTCTGTTTCTGTCTCTTTTCACAGCTCTGCTGTCAGCTACAGCTGTCAATTATCTGCTGTCTCTAGTAGCTATTGTCTTGTTTTACATTTATTACACTCATCCAGAAGGTTGTTCTGAAAACAAGACTTTCATCAGTATTAATATGCTGCTGTGTATTGGTGCTTCTGTAATGTCAATTCTGCCAAAGATTCAGGTATGGTTTTATTTTTGGTTACTTTTAGGGTTGGTTTTGTGGTTTTTTTTTTTTTTTTTTTTTTTTTTTTGTGTTATCAGCCCCAGAAACCTCTAATATAATTGAACCCCAGACTTTTAATTGCCTAACTTTGCTGTTTCGTGACTATTTCCTATAGGAGTCTCAGCCACGATCTGGTTTGCTGCAGTCTTCTGTGATCACAATTTACACCATGTATTTGACTTGGTCAGCTATGACCAATGAACCAGGTAAGTGCAGGAGCAGTATTTGGCTTTTTGGGTAACCAGTTCCCCAGTAAATGCTATCTTGACAATTTTGCAAGGCAGCATTAGAATGGGGTACTATAATGCATGCAGGTTAGAGCCAGGACTTACTGGTTTGTGTTCTCCCACCCCAACTTTCTGTAATAACACTGAAGAAATAATTCTTCCAAAGGTAATGTGTTTTTCACTTGATCTTATGTGTATTGTATGGAAGAATATCTACTTATGGGCAGGATTGCAGTATTCTAAAGCTTAGATTGTGCAGATTACCACAACTCTTTCAAGGTGTCTGGAAGGTTCATCTCCCTGCCAAGTTTCAAGTTTCTTAAACCGGTGACTGAGATGCTACTGATTGTATTTTTCCAAACTGGGGATATAAAAAAATGTATTAATAAACGTTTACAGTGCTTCTTGTGTCTGAAAACAGCTGAGCATCTTAAAAAAACCCACCTTAATTAATTAATTAAATTCAGAAATTCTGGTGATTAAAACAAACTGCCACATGTTGATTTTGGTGTTTTTAATTGGGTCTCTGACTCTTTTATCTTAATTATGGACAAATGTTTTGTGGATCAGCATACATATGACTCATATCTAATTTGTGCAGTAATTATGGGGAAATAATTAAAATCTACTACTTTCAGCTGTTTCATCTGTGTTATCTGTGGATGCTGTGGGTTGGGGACGATTGATAATATGAAAATTAGTTTGTAGGATTCTTTTCCAACTCTGAGGTGACTCTGGCATCCCATCTACAGAGTATACGTTTGTCAAACTTGTTTTCTAAAGTTTAATATGCAGAGCATTTTTGTTTTGTTGCATCTAATTATATGAGATGGAACAGTAAAGCAGTTGATGCATGTCTTTATATGAGTTTAAAATCCTTTTATCTGCTCAGAGAGACAGATTTTTATGCCACATACTGTCATTTGCCTGCTTTAGAGAGACTCAGTAGGCTAAAATTAGATTCAAGGCTTTTTTACTTCAAGCCTGTCACAGTCACAAAGTTCCTTTCTATTAACTGTGCCTTCAGTGTGGAAATGTCCCACTAAGTGTTTGTTCTGTTCTTGTTTTATGCAAGTTCTGATGTGATTTCCCCACAGACAGGCGCTGTAACCCAAGTTTGCTCAGCATCATTGGTTACAACAGCACCACCGTTCCCACCCAGGGTCAGGTCGTTCAGTGGTGGGATGCACAAGGAATTGTAGGACTGGTTTTGTTTTTGCTGTGTGTTCTCTATTCAAGGTAAGATTCCTTTAAAAAAAAAAAAAAAATCCTGTTAACTTCTACTAATTCTCATTGGCAGATACTGATTTGTATTTATTTGGGTAACCATACCGTGTCCTTTCCTGTCAAATACAGCATCCGAACATCCAACAATAGCCAAGTTAACAAGCTGATGCTGACCAGTGATGAATCTACACTGATAGAGGATGGAATGCCCAGGAGTGATGGCTCCCTTGATGATGGAGATGACGTTCACCGAGCCATAGATAATGAGAGGGATGGAGTTACTTACAGTTACTCCTTCTTTCATTTCATGCTTTTCCTGGCATCGCTGTATATCATGATGACACTTACCAACTGGTACAGGTATTTACCCATTGATAATATGTTGTGCTAATAATGAGCATACAGGGTGCTGTCTTTTGCTGGACAAGGAAGCATAACTTGTGTGCTGTGGGGAATGTAGGTCTTGAATGGGACTTCTCAAGGGAAGTATACTGCTTGATCTACATCAAATGAATTGTGTTTGAAAATCGCAGTAGCCAACCTTGTTCACAAGTGCCTATCATATTTTGTTGGATGATTCT